TTGCCTGCAGCATGCATTTACTGTCCACTGACGCCATATTTATGCAGCCCTCAGTCATGCACACAATTCATGCTCAATCAGCCTTACAACCCATGGCATTTCCTCATTCCCTTTTTTCGTACTCAAGTCATGACTAGTTGTCTCATCCCATCCTTTTTTGCCTACTGCCCATACCAAGCATATCAAACCCATTCTAGCATGCTTCTCGCAACTTGCATTCTAAAGGTAATCCAGCCATTATCCTTCTCATTATCTTCCCGTGGAAGTTTCACAATCCATCCCTCTCAGCCGCACGCTACCGTAGTGTGAGCGGATGGGCTGCTGTCAGTTATATTATGGCGCAAATTATCGTGGCATTCCACACAGCTCAGTTAGTGCGACCCACCACTTTGACATTCCAGGGTTAGTCACCAATCTGTCCTGACGTACCAGGACTAAATGACTAATGGTATGTTTGACAAAGAGCTAATTTAAAAGAGGTGAAAGTCTGACACACCAAGACAGCCACAGCTACCATGTTGTGCAAGCACCTGGTCCTGTCCTGGCTAACTAGTGCACACATTGACCTGATTGAGATGGCGGGAGGACGGCTGTCCAACAATCAGTTTCAATCTTACTAATTTTGGTGATCGTGAGTTGGTACTATGGGTTGGAGCTGTGGGTTGGCGCCATGGGTCGATGCTGTGGGTCGGTGTTGTGGGGTAGCATGTTGTTCGTGTGTGAAATGTGAGTTCAATCCGCCGTTCTGAGTGCGAGTTCTGGTGGGCGAAAGGAGAGGCGCATTCTGGTATTTAACGAGAGCCCGAGAGTTGTTCGTGGCCTCTCTTGGTTTCGTTGTAAGACAAGTTGAGTCTTGGCTGCTTGTCCGACCATGCACGGCGAGTGCGCTAGAGCGCCGCGTGCAACAAGGTTGCCAGAGTTCGAACCAAAACGGTTTTGACTTGTGCTGCGTTGTGGCCCATCGGTGGGCCCATTCGATTGCGACGAGCGGGATCTCGAACTGGGATGGCTAAGGTACGTTGACGCTAACCCTAAAACTGCGGTTAGGACACATTGGGCACGTGACTTGGTACCTTGCAACCGTGACTTGGTGCCTGTGCCGGTGCAGGCAGTCACCGATTTGGTGCAGGCCGTAATATTACTTCCATCATGACCCAATAAATTGGCGCTCACATTTGTTCGGCCCACCCCCCCAGCCCCTGCTCCGTTGGCGCCGCCATTCTTCGCCCTCCGCTCTGCAGCTGTGGCGGAACCGGACTGAAGTGAGGTCGAGGCGACGCCCCGCGGCAGAGCAACAAACATGGTGCGCCACCGATCGACCGCTTTGCGCTTCGACGGCGCCCCGCGCCGATCTGTTGGCGGTCGAGTGGACCCAAAGCGGCCCTCCAATGAACCCCAGTCTTTGTCCCTCCGGTGAGCTGAGTCGGGATCGCCTGGGCCCGCGGCGCCAGGTGCTGCACAGCGACATCGACCTATTGAACCCGCCGGCGGAGCTGGAGAAGCGGAAGCACAAGCTGAAGCGGCTGGTGCCGTCGCCCAACTCGTTCTTCATGGACGTGAAGTGCGAGGGGTGCCTGAGCATGTGAGTGGCGGCCGCGCCAATTAAGGGGCTCCTTTGATCTGGGACACGATTCTCACAAGGTTTGGAGATCATCGCTCGCTCCCTTGGTGCCGAAATGCGGCCGGCCATGGCTAGGCTGCGCTTCCGTCGCGGACGGAACAGCCCAGGGGGCTGATCTGAGAAATTTCGTCTCTGTCCCTGTCTGCAGGCTCGCTTGCTGAACCGAAAGCTGTCTTGCGTCTCCGCGAGAGCCCAATCGGCCCTTCGCTGAGGCGCGATGCTCTCCTCGGGTGCCGAAGGGCTTGGGTCGCGGCGCGCCGTGCGGACATGTGGCTGATGCGGCGCTTTGTGTGTTCGCAGAACGACCGTGTTTTCGCACTCCCAGTCGGTGGTGGTGTGCCCATCGTGCTCCCAGATACTGTGCACCCCGACCGGCGGCCGGGCTCGACTGACGGAAGGTAGGCAGCCTCCTGGGCGGGCCCCTGCTGTGACACAAGTTGGAATAGGGCGGCAATATTTTCGCATGCGCGTGCCTTTTCATGTCGCACTTGGCCAATGCCGACAAAACGCGGCCAGCGAATCGTGCAGGCAATGCTGGTGATGAGCAAACACATAGGACTGGACGTGAACTGCTCTTTGGTCCCATTGCACACCTTCATGCTGTTTCAGCCGTTTTTATAAGTGTCCATGCGTCCAGGTGGAATGTTACGCAACGCATGGCCGAACGTGGGTACCTTGTTGAAGCAGATCTGTATGCACTTTGACAGCCCAGCCAGCATTGGAAAGACATCACTGGTTTGGATGTTTGCATACCGCTGGTTTCTAATTGCAGATTGGACGGAGGACTGCTTTGATCTCTTGTGCTTGTTGTCGCAGGTTGCAGGTTCCGGAAAAAAGGCGATTGATCGTCTGCTTTATCAGCACTGGCATGCCATGCAACGCATGGCAGCTGGGCGGTTTTTCAGTGTTCTGGAGTTTGAGCGATAGAGAGGGAGAAGAAAACACACCTTGACGACTGGCACAGGGCTGTGGCGGAAAGTCTGGTTGTGGGCAGCCTGGAGTATTGCAATGGAATGGACCTGGTGGAGCTGGATTTTGAGGAACATGGAGCTACTCAAGATCGGTGTCGAAGTTGACCCAACAACAAAGGACGTTGCTGGGGAAAGATCCAAAGGCGTCGCATGGTACTTCAAGGGCAACAGGTTGCAAGGAAATGTGGGAATCAAACATATAGTGCTTCAATGTGCACACTTGTCTTGTGGTCAGCGCCTGTCGAGTCTTTGTTTTGTCACCTGCTTTGGCTTGTTGCTGCCGTCGTGAGCAATTACCACCCTGTGGTAATGCAGATTCCTTTGCCAAGCTTACCACTATCACAATTCCAGGCAACGTGCTGCATGGACCACACAGAAACTCCTCTTGAGCAGACAATGCCACTGGAGAGATGCCTGAACTGCAGTGCTTGTCATCATCTGGCATATGCAAACACAGTCATTGCAAATGAAAATGCCCCCACCCGCTGCCCTCTGCTGCACATTCGCACCCCAGTGTCGAATGTTTCCGTTCACAGCCAATGCACAGCAATGTATCAGTGTCGACGGGGTGTTGCCTTGAATGGGAGAAGTCACCTCTCATTCACCCTAATTAGACAGTGGGCTGCGCAGCCTGCCAGAGGGACTCCTATTCTTTCCATGAATGATGCATGGATGGTGTCCAATGGACAGGCATGCAAACACTGAAGATGCCACTCATGGCAGGCAGCAGTGGCAGTACATTTGCACGGTTTTGGCCGTTAGCAAGTGCTATTTGACGGAACAACTCATCAGTAGTGCAGACTACGTCCATAATGGGACTGAAGAAACCAAGTTGCACAGCCTCAGCCATGCATTTGGTGCAATTCTCTGTTCGTGCAGCAGTCTGCCAACCTGACGTCGTCTGAAAGCTGTACGGATACTGTAGTGTTTGGAAAGGATGTTCGCACTTTGCAGTCCTTCGCTGACTTTGAGGAATGGACATCAGACAGCTGGCCTGCACAGTTACCCGGACGGAGGTCCTTCTTTGCAACTTCCACCCACAATGTCGACAGTCAGCCGGTGTGATCAACAATCATCTTCATGTTGGCTTGCCTCCTTTTACGAATAATCATTACACGGAGGGCACCTGGAACTGCTCTTTCCTTTGGGTTTCGATTATTCATTGGAGGCTTTGTCATGTGTTGAAGATTGTCATGCGAAAGCTTGAGCAAAGATGTGGAGTCATATCACGTCTGGCTACTGCCTGCAACCGCCATCGCCTTGGCGTCATGCCCCCACAGCATAAAGGCGACTCGTCGTGTTCAGTTCTACAATCAACAATGCAGAATTCCGCTCTGGTCCCAATGGCTGCTGTCCCTTGATCCTTGTGGAAGGGGCAAGAGGATCCGCAGTCTCGATTGTGATGTGGCCTGGAGGGAACTTGCTCCACTGGCGTCTACACAAAGAGCTGTTAAGAGAATCGTGACTGCGACATGAGTGTCTGCAGTGCGGGTATTCTGGCACACACAGGCAACCCAGTCAGAGTTTATGGATTGGATGCGATTAGGCTTTCTAGTAGGCAGAAGTGCGGGTGCTTGGAACAGGGCAGCAAACCAAAACGCTTTGGCCAATGCTCGAGAATGCTTCAGCCAATCCTCAAAGCGGCATATAGTCCCCTCCCCAAGCAAGTGGTACTGCCGTCGTCGCCTGCAAGGTGCAATGGACCCGTTTCTTCTCTCCAAGGCAAACTCAAACAAACATGGTTGTTAGCAAACAGTACCTCCTGCTATCGCCCTCAGGGTGCAAGGGCTCCGCTTCCTTCGGTGAAGGCAGATGCGCCCAGACACAAGGGATTTCAAACTCCCAGATTAGGAGTGCTAATAGGCAACGGTGCCTGCTCCCATTCCTTTTATTAGGAGTCCTAATAGGAAACAGCGCCCTGAATTAGGAAACCGGCGACCAATTGCGGCTGCCGCCGGAGGGCGAGGCGCTTTGGTCCCCCGAGTCCAACTGCGCCCAGCGGCTTAGCCCCCCCATGGTGAAGAGGTCCCACCCCCGTGGCTCGCGGAGACCGGAGCCGGGCCCGGAAAGCGACGAGTACCTCCAGTCGATCGAATCCGACGATCAGTGCAGCGAAGACGGCAGCGGCGACGAGGGTCTGCAACTCGGCGCAGATGGCGTCGATGGCGGCGACATGGTCGATGCGGACTTCGAGTTTTACGACCCCGCGGATGGTGACGTCCGTGGGATCAGGGCCATGTTGCAGAGCCTGATGGACGGGGCGGCCTTCGACGTGTCTGAGCTGGTGGATGTGATAATTCATCAGGTGGGGGGGGGGATGCATCGCTCGGGCGGTCTCGCTGGAACCAGAGCCTTTCAAGGGGTTTGGTCGCAGGGAATGGTGTGCACTGTACGCTGAAACGGCGTGGGAGCCAGCGAACAGGCAGCCGAGTGATTGGATGCTGGGTGAGAGGGCCGGATGTGGAATGTGCTATGGGTGCTGCGAGCTGTTTGATTAAAGTCGCAAGCTCCTTGGCAGTCTGTGTCCTCCAGAAACTAACGCCAAACTGCCCCAAAAGATATCAAAGCTCGCCAGGGAGCTCGAAGCGCTATGGTCGGGTTCCCCGGCAGGGTTTTCCGTGTCTTGCGACCTGCCTTACAAAGATATGCTGCTGCTCTTGTTTGTCTGAGGGGACATAGCGAGTGCCTCATTCCCTCAAGGCTTTCGATTGAATTTGGCTCCCATGCCCTTGATCCTAGCTGACATTCAGGGAAGTGATGTGCATTCAGTTCGTCACTGAATGCTGTTGAACACTGAAGCAACACTTCCCTTGCACCTCCAAGGTGATGCTAGCCTGAGGTCGATCCATTAATGCTTGCTCCACAGTGCTGTCTATGAACAATTAACCTGGAAAATGTGTCCTTCTGTGATGCCATCCAACAGAAGACGGTGGGGTCTGTTGTGAAGACGGGACAAGAAAGTGACCCTGTGGGCGTGATTTCCGTGCTGAACATACAGCGCTACTCCAGTTTGGGCTGCATTGCGGAATTAAAGGGATTCATCCTGTCACACTGCCCCGGGCAGGGAGGAGAGAAAGAACAATTATCACAGGTGGGTCCAAAACCAGAAATATTTTCCTTAATGAACTTTAGGCCATTCTGATCTTTCATGTGGTAAGCAAGGAATTTCTTCACAGTCTGCATGGAGCAACTAAAGGGGCAAGGCGTGCACATCATATATGACTTGTCACTGCTTGAAGTAGGACGGTAGAGTGTGTAGGCATGTCGGTGACCTCGACTTCCTGGCAGTTGAATACCCCACTGGCAGGTAAGTTTGACTGGGGCAAGAAGCACTGTAAGGATGGGGTCCTGCTATCTGGCATGAATGCTTTGCATTCATTGCTGGGAGACCTTTTTGACTTGATTCCAGTGCCTACACAAGCCTTGAGAAAGTTGCTGAAAGGTGAATGCTGGCTTCGTTCCCTAGTTCAGTCTCTCTGAAGAAAAAAGTGAGGGTTCTGGCAGGAGAGATCCTGCCCTGGGGCATCACCCTTTCAGCAAAGAGTGGTACAATCCAGCACTACCTAGTACTGAGGCTTGTACCACTTTCCTAAAACAGTGTTCGTTTGCGATGGGCCATCGCCCTTCTGCAAGCAGAATCGGCTGGTTTTGAATTCAGATGCACATGGCCAGCAGGGGGCACAGATGATGTTGGTCATGTTTGCCCATTACCATATGTGACAGCAATTTCGGTGTCAATCTTGTGCTTTGTCAAGTGCAGAAATGGAGTCACAAGAGTATATCGGCGCTGGCTGCGCACACAGGCTGACCATCGTACCTACTTCTGACACACATCCCATCAACGACCCTTCAGTGATCACTGGGTGCCCAATTGTGCATTTCCCTGAACGGCAAAGAAGCCACACTTGTGCCTGTTCAATGGCAGGCCCCTTTTAGCCCCACTGCGTGCAAGCATTCCTTGCTGCATGCAGCTCTTTTGATGATATGTCAACATTAAGACTACATGTGGTAGAGCTGTTTTGGCGATGAAGGTCATTATGTGCATTGGGAATGCTCCATCCCAAACTGCACATGCCTAACGTTCTCCGCTGGTGCCTGCCATTCTGTTTGTCTATGGCACTGTGAATCGTTATTTGCAGCAAGGTACTGAGTCACGAATCCAAAGTCCAGAAGTTGGGGACCATGTACCAATCATGTTTCTGCTCCCAAGAAGTGTCAGTAGTGGAATCATACTGTGAATCTCTTCCACAGTGCGTATGGCACTGCGAGGAAGAGCAGACCTCAACTTGGCAGAACAACTGGCAATGTGCGCAACACGGTTTCGCAATTGAATTGCTTTGAATTGCCGAAAATCGCGTATTTGCAGCCCAAACTGCAAAAAACATCAAGCGTATCTGGCGCTTGCAGCGCTGTTGGCGTCGTTATCACAACTGCCATGTGTCCTTGGGGCAGCTGGTCATGAAACCCTCTGTAACAGCATTTGCAGCACGGGAAGATATGGCTTTGAATCAATGATAACCGGAAAAAGGAAAATGCTGTTTGCTGATTGTGAGAACTGAATACTGATAGGATAAATTATCCTTGGCTCTGGGACGATGCCATGCATATAACACGCTTGCCCCTCGTTGTCAAGTAATTCACACAATGCTATTTCAGGAGAAAGTGGCATGGCGCTCAGTACTTTGCAGTACTTGCTTGTACTTGTTTGTACAGCTATTTCCTGAAGGGATGTTGCACTTGTCTCTGCCCCGCCCAACAAGAAAAGTAGCCACAGACCGTATGTGTCTGGTGAAGCGAAGTTGCCTCACGTGTGATTTCCACGACGTGAAGCTCATGTGCCAATGCACAGGTCTTGTCCAGTCCGCACACTGGCCTCCTGATCAACGAACGTCTCCTGAACAGTCCCCCGGAACTTGGGCCTCCGCTTCAGCAAGCCCTCTTCGATGAGATCCAATGGGCAACAGAAGATGAGCCCACTCAGGTGAACATGTGCAATGCTAACCCTCATTGTCTTAATGTATATCTTGTTCTTGTTGTTGCTCTTATTGCTATCTTTATCCTCATCATTACTGTGAGGGCGACGAATATATAGCGGATAATTATAAGGCGAATGGTGTTAAATACGGTGTGATTACGCATTGTGAACATGGTGAAAAATGCATGGTGAATATGGGAATGGAGGGTGACTAACTGGTGACATTTCCTGCGAACACTATATGGTTCATGTTATTGTCCTGTAATGTATCTGCTTGCGGCCTCGCTTCCTGTGCCTGAGGAGCGACCATGTGCGAGCGTGTGTGAGGGCGTACGGTTAGCCCGATAATTACCATTATTGATGATAATCTGAATAACAATATTACTGTCATTATTTTCATTATCAGTGATAATATTGTAATCAATAATTGATACATCCTCCATCCCATGTTAGGCTGTAGTTATGAACCTTGGCCCTAGAAAAGTTGCAAATCATCTCAGATTTCCACCAAAATTTGCCACAATGTGTTGGTTTGAGTCCAGCTGCGCTCCCAAAATTTTGAGTCAATGGGCTAAGTATTCAATCCACAGTGTCATCTTGAACTTGAGCCACTTGGCCAAAAATTGCCGAAATTTCAAGGTGGCGAAGAAGCAACCTCTTTTCCCAGTCTTTCAGAGGAGTTTAGCATTTGCCTTTCTGTTTCTGATAATATTTTTTACATTGGAACAACAGGTTAAACCCCAACTGTTGTTGTTTCCCATTGCTGCAGTTTAATCTGCGACTGAGGAAGCGTTGATAGTAATATTTTATCATTAGCACAATCGTATTGGCTTCTTGCAGTGCTATGAGGGCAGCATTGCATCCTTTCTATGTGTATTGGCTACCATCCAAGTTGCTTGTTACATTACACAACGCAATGTCAAGAGCCATACTCTTAAGCGGGATGCCCTTTCTTCAAGTCGTTTTGTTGTGATGTTGTTTCTTTTGTCCCCAAGAAGTCTGGTGTGGAAGGGGCTAATTTGTGTACCACCTGCTGCTATCAACCTATGCGGGCGTTCTCAATGTGCTTTCACCAGCCTGCCAAGCCCCACTGCAAACCGCCATGCATAACATGGTTGTGATGTCAGGACGATTGTCCGACTGCATTGCTATTTGGTGTGCAGGAGCTTAGGGAATCTTTCAAATTCCAGCAGTATGTATCCCTGACCAGGGTGTTTAGGGATCCCAAGGCTGATGCTCCATCCTCAGGCACTGACGCTGTGGCGACAAAGAAGCGGAGGAGAACAAAGCAGGAGGCTGGGGTGAGGCTTTTTGGTGAGGGCAGGCCTGAATCAGTGCCCAGATATTGTCAGGCCTGGAGTAAACGCTAGAGTTTCCTTTGAATTCATTAGCAGGCACAAGGTCCTCTCTGTTATTGCTTTCCCGTTGCTCTTGGAAGTTCTTACATTATCTGTGCCGTTGGGAAGTAAAAAGACATCTGTAGCAGGAGTGCACACCATTTTTTGCCCTCTGCCCTCGTATTGTTGTGATAGTGTCAACAAGTTTCTGGCTGATGGTCCTGGCAAAGTTCTTGTGAGCAGGTAGTTCTGGACTGTCACTTATGGCCCATAGGCATTGAGACTCGTGTCCATAGTTTCAAGGTGAATGGAGGAAGCACATGGTCCAGACATGTGTAAGCAACAGATGCCTTGTGGACAGAACTCGAATCTGAATCCCCAGCATATTTATGAGGCAGTATCCATCCCAAATCGAAGCTGACAATACTTGTGCCAGAATGGAGAAGATTTTGATACCCTATCATCCAGGTCAACATGCAGTCTTGCATCAGGATAGCAGCCAAGGTGGTCAAGTGCAGTGTTTAACACCCTATCACTGAGGAGCAGGGCCCATTGTAATGTGGATTACCCTGCCTCACAATGAACTGGTGTCTGCTGTGGATGTCATAAGTTACAGTGCCACGATGTGGCATCACTAAGAAAGGTGGAGGAAGGTTAACAGAATGTGGGTCAAGCTTCAGAGCAAAGTCGATGCAAAGCAGTGTCCATACCTACAGAGTGTCATGTGTACCCTCCTCCACAAATGCCATCGATTGACCCTCCAGCTGAGTTTACCAATAGAAAATTGAGTGGGGTTGCTATTGCACACACTGATGGCACAGCGTGCCAGCGATCTACTCGTCTGACATCCCCCGATAGCCATGAGGGCAGTGTCATGTCATCCAAGAGCAAATGAATTCGACATAGACTGTTGACCTAAAGGACTGGGGTGTGCTCCTTTCCACAGCCCTTGTGCACAGCAGGCTTCATTTACATCAGACCAGAGGATGAATTCTTCCACCAGGTGTCCAATCTGTGGTTCACGTTTCCCGTAGAGAAGGCTGGCTCAAACCTCCAGCAGTTTCGGTTGGTTATGGTGATCAATGCAAACAAGGTCCCTCAGGCGAGGTGAGCAGACTTCCAGCAGCCTGTTGCTGCCATCGAGCTCATGAGATGAAACAGGAATTATGGAGTTTGCCTTGCTGTGGTGATGTACTCATGCATTGCTCTCCCACCGATGTCTTGTGGGTGCCTGGTGTATATCACCTGGTGTTTTTGCCAGCATGTTAGCTGCAAACAACACCTGTCCATGATTGAGGATGGCCAGCACGCACAACAGAAGCACCCCCGCCCTTCCCTGAAGCAAGCTATTGCACACCCTGTTGGGGTCATGCAGCAAGCAATTGTATGTGTCATCATTCAGTATAGTTTGGCCCTTTCAACTGCACCACGTGTGCTCCAGTTCAATGGACAGCATGACCGCAACACAAATACCCAAGCATGCTCTTGCTGACCAGTGTGGGACTGTGTGCAAGAATCTTACAGCATGTTCTTGTGCATGTGTACAGGGCGGCTTTGGATTCGGTTATTGGCAATGCTGCTGCTGCTGCTGCTGCGCTACACCAGGCATAGTAAACAACATTGTAGTATCATAGCTGATGTGTAGATGTTGGTGCAGGGTGTGCTCTTGTTGTATTGGCACCTTCAGCAGGGCTGGTATGTCTTGCAACGAAACTTCCACCATCCCGTGCGTGCTTTAATGATGGCGTGGCTCTCCACACTGACATTGTGCTGGGGGAGGCGCTCGCGACAATGCATGTCTTCCTTTTGCGTCATACCTTGTCCTGGTCACCCCAAGTACACGTTTTCCTCCTCATGCTGCGCTTCACTGCCGTGTGTCAATTTCTGTTTTCTGTTGCTCTGGCGGGTGGACGGCTTGTGCTTCATATGAAGCGTATTAACAAATGATGCAAGAAGAATGCCAGAAATATCGCACTCGAGAGGGTGGACGGGGGTGTGGGTTGGGTGGGGGTAGTGAGGGTGCTTGGTAGGGTGAGTTGGGGTTGGGTGGGAGGTTTTGGGGATGAGTGCTGACAGCCTGTTGCCTTGTCTGATTGAGAATTGTGGCGCGTTATGCCTGCCGCAGTTCCAGGGCAGCGAGCCATGGATGCGGAATGGGTGGGAATCAACTACAATGTTCTTGTTTGCAATTTGCTGGTTGGAAGGAGGCCCCCTCTCCTTGCCAGCCATGGGGCCTCTGTCGGCTTCATGCCTCTGCAGGCACACAACGCAACACGGCTGTTGAGGCTCTACATCTTCCCCTTGATGATTCCATGCATTGCATTCGCTTGCACGGGGCTTTGTCACAAATATGTGGCAAGCTGTCGCCTTGAACCTGAAAGGGTATGGGTCAAATGCGCTACAAGACCGATATTCAAGAACGCCTAAGGCGAACCCAAAACAGCAAAGCAGCATTTTGTGCTCCATGATGCAATGAACGTATTTTTAAAGGACAACACGGAACGGCAACTACCGAACAAGCCACGTGTCTCCGGTGAATTCAGATGATCAGACAGCACCATTGCGCTAGAAGACTGAAAAGAGCCCCAAACGCTTTCTAATAGAAACACCCACGTCATCTTAGCATACAAAGTACCAGGTTCTGTCTGAACCTAGCCTACGCAGGTCCGCTGACAGCGAACACCCTACAGACAAAGAAGTGGTTGATCACGCCCCCAGAACAGCATCACATTTTGATGAAGCATCAGCTAAGCAGCGGTGCACTAGCTTCGTAGCACATTAAGGAGCTCTCCCCTCATCATCTTCATGTCAAAGACACGGCGTGACAACGAGCCTGTCACCTTCCAACTCTCAATGATTGTGAAGGGCTGCTTGACACAAGAGTGTGAATTTTGCATTCGCCTTCAGTCACGTTGTTGCTTCGCTCAATGGGTGACACATGGCGAGTGATAGGTTGACACCACATCATGGACCAGACCAGGATTGATGGTGCAAATGCGAGATGAATAGCCGCAGAGCGTTCCTCACAGGCAAGACAGATCGTTTGCAAGTTGCAATGAGAATCACACGCTGCAAGACCCATATTTAAAGCACCATGACACATGTCTGGATGCAATTGTGGACAAGGTACAGAAGCAGCCGACAGCCTCAAATTTTCCGATGAATTGAGAAGGTGTGACAACTGAGAGTCATGCATTTCTATGCGTAGTTTAGACGACTTCCTGATAAAAGCTGCTTCTGAAAATGCCAAAATGCTGCCGAAATCCTGGTAAGATTTCTGCTACAACACCCAATGAAATGTTTGGATGTAAATCGATTTACGTCGAACCATGTCATCGGGTATTGTGGTACTACTGCATTGCAGTACTGTTGCCGTACTGCAAGGCAATGCTGCTATGAAGAGTCTATTGCGAACCAGAACTGTCCCCTTGTCTGAGGACCTCAACCGCTGTCTAGGAAAGCTGGTGTCGAGTGCGGAATTGTGTGATTGTCATTTATCTAGCCTGGCATCGGTCCAACTGTAATTTGCAGGAGGAGCGTCACCCTAGACCTATAGGGTGGCGCTCCTCCTCATCGTTGCTACGGCTTCCAGACGCTGGAATCACCCTAGGGTGATGATCCTCAGATCAGACCTGATCTGAGCCTCAGGTTTTGAGGTATCGTTGGAGAAGCAACTGCAAGACGCGGTGAGGATGGCGCGCGGCCGGCGGCCACGACGCGGCCAGTGGCCGCGCCGCGGCCAGCGGGACACTGACGATGAGCCGCTGTCACGGCCACGTGCATGTACACGTGCGCTCACCAGTGCGCAATGCGAGCGAGCGATGAGGAGGGGAACGGCCCAACTACGCGCGTGAGACTGACTGTGTCTGCACTTTTGCACGGGCCAATTCGTCGGCATGAGATTATTCACCCTGTGTTTTCATGTGGATCCCAGCTTGTTTCCGGACACCCTTAACTCTAAACCACTGACCCACCGACCGGCGCTGGCCTTGTCAGCGGAAGGGGATGTGATCCGCACTGAAGACACGAGGGACTAATGTATCGTCCTCGTCAGCGTCGCGCTGGCCACGGCGTCCCGCGTAGTATATTAACCCCTCCCTGGGGCGGCGCGTGCTGTGCCGCAAACCAGTGCCGCGCCCCGCAGCCATCTGGGTCGGGAAGCGCGGAGGCTCGTCCTCCCCGCTGCGCCGCGTGGCCCGCCATGCCGCGGGGCACACCCCTTGCAGCAGCCCCAGATATTTTGCGGTCAATTTCCTGAGCACCTTCAAACGTGGCGGGGCCGCTTGGCAGCAGCAGCAGCCGCGGGGAGCTTGATGCTGCGTGCTCGCCCCAGACCCCGCTGTCCCGCGGAGCGCCTGCAGAAGAGGAGGTAACCGCCGGGCTGCAGGCAGAGCGGTGGAGACTTGCTGATTCGGCCCAGCGCTGTTTTGGGCAGGGGATGTTTCGATGATGCCATCAGCGGGCCAACGCATCTCGCCGCCGCCGCCGCCAAGCTGGCCGTCGAAAGGACGAAAGTTGCTTTTGGCGGGTGGTGATCAGTGAATGACGACTGCAATTCGCAAATGCGCATCCTACAGTTGGTGTGAGCAGCCAACTGCGTGCAATCGAGAGAGGCTCGGGCCAGCAGGCTCATTGCAGCGACCCACGATTTCGTGGACACGGCATGAATGGGTCGGAGAGAAGGCGCGATCGGGTCAGACGGAGCGGGCGCGCCCATCCTGTGTTAGATTGCCTGAGACCTGCGCGTGCGCTCCAAAGAGGGATGATTGTACAGGGATACCCTTGTCAGTTCCTACCCGTGAAGAGGCTGTTGACTAAGCCCCGCCAAACAGCAGTCCGTCCAGCCGGTGTTCGCCCAGCGGTTTCTGTCCAAGCTCCGACACACCGCTTTCCGGCCTCGGCAGCCACCGACGGTGCGCGGGCACTGAACTGATTCGTTAACACTTGCCTTCGGACGGCAAAGCGGGGCCTCTGCATCCTCAGTCGCTGGCAGGCATGCACACAGCCACGAATTTATTTCTTTCCCTCGTCAG